ACCCAACCATCACCCGACTAAACTACATCGTCTAATCCGAGTTCTAACTGATTAAAACCTCATTCTACTCACAAAACCAACTTCTAACCTAAGTGGAAAAAGAGTAGAACTCTACAAAACCCACACACATACACATACAATCATATACATTAAAGAGATGATGAAGTTTCACACCCTTACCGATCGATTGCAAGCTTTGGTAATGATTTCCTTGATGATTCTAGGTTTTCCTCTCCACTTTCTCTTCTCTTTCTCTTCTCCTCTTTTCTTTCTCTTGTTTTTCTTCTTATGTTACTATCTTTCTTCCTTTTCCTCTCTTATTCTATTTTCATCTCTATTTCTTTCCTCTCAAATTCTTTCCAACACTAACCAATCAATTCTCACACTAAGTGCTAAATGTCTAAAATGCCCTTTTTACTCTAATTCCCCGAAAACTCTCCGAATCGGTAAAATAGATAAAATAAGCAAACACCACATAATAACAATATATAATTTCTCAATTTAAACAAACATCAATTAAATAAATTAAAAGACTCAACAATTAATGGGAATTCAGAATCGGGGCGTTACAGTTGGGTAGAAGTTAAACCTGCCGCCATTTTAATTCAATCTTTTTACTTCCAGTTGTTCAAGATTTTAAAGCCTCTCGTTTAGAGCATATTTCTGTCTATTTATTGTCTTTTATTTATTTATCCGCCTTTATTTCCTGCGCCCTTTATTTCCCGACACGTACTTTATTTATTTACTTACCCGCACTTTATTTACTCGCATTTGTTTACCATGTCCGGCTAAATCTTAAGGGCTAGGATGCGAGGATTATAGTTATAATTAGTATTCCACACGATTGTCGATAGAATTACTTAGGGGTTATTTTAACTTTTAACACTTATTTTCTGTACTTAAAATCTGTTGGGTAAGATCGAAAGTCGTCCAACCTTTAGATAAATTTGGTTAGTTTTAACTGTTCCAAGGAAGCGAAAGCGCTTGGCTCAGTTAATTAGGAATCTTTAATGTTTAAGAAAACCGATTTTAAAACTGTTTTTGGACGCGTTTATGGATTTAAATTCCGGTTCGCAAGAACCTCTTTTTATTAGAAATTCCAGGTCAAAATACTTTTCAACTAAGTTAAGAAACTATATTTCTTAAAAATAGGTTTATTAATCCTAAAGCAATACGCGTCTTTTTATAAGTGACAATAAAAGGGATCGATTAGGGATAAACTCGGTTCTGATTACGCGAAAGCGACAGTTCCCGTTAAATTAGTTCTTTTCATGAGTGAAAAACATTACCCCATAAGGCATCCTATCTGTACACATTTGAAATACTACGTATCTATATGAATTGCATCTATGCCTGTTGTTTTATTATTGAATTTATTTTCGTACTTTAATTTTATTTCGCACAACCCAATCCTTTATTTGATTTGCCTTAGATAAACACTGTAACAATAGTAATCGATAGATTGACATTTGGTCTCTTTGGGATCGATAATCTTTTATATTACTTTGACGTTATTCGTGCACTTGCGAATCGCCCATCAAGTATCTAACTGCATCTGAATCAAAGGCCACTACTCTTCGCCCCATCCAAGTAAAGTTGCAATAGCCCGAAAACCACAATTTCTATCGTCATTCATGTCAACAATGTCATCAATATTTGGATGTAAGAAATCAGGAAACCGAGACAAGTAAAGATGTCTCGAAAATGCAATAAACAATTGATTCTACCCGACATACTTGACAGTTGACTTCTAGTTGGTTTCGTGCATGATCTCTTTATAGTCTTACTCTCTTGTGAGCCCTCACCATACTCCCACTATGAAGGATCACGACGTACATCACTCTCTTCATCCTTTCTGCTCTTCTTAACTCCCATCATTTGACTTGTACTTCACCAGCGGTGGACACATAGAAGTTTTGGATGGATGTGTTAGTTCCCGAACCTTTTTTTTAACACCCTTTGGCCTACAATATCCAAAGTACTAAAATATGTCTTCAACTCTTCACATTCTGCTTTTAAATCCAATTGTGTATCACCTCCTTTATGATTGACATCATGCTCTTCAATGTGTAATTTCTTAAACATGAATTGGTTCTAAAGGAGCATGATTGTCTTGTATTTTAAAACCGACAAGTTGACACGCATAGGGTAACCCATATGTTATTCTAATGAAGCAACCACAAGTATCTTGGCTTGCACCAATAAATTTTACCCTTTCTAGTTCCTTTTCAATGTGTTATATACATTATGTTGAAACAAAAATGTGCAAGTTAATATAAAATGGAGTGTTATACTGATGCTCAATGTTGACAATACTTTATTGAAATGAGACCCTGATTGAACCTAGCTGCAACTTCAACATGGTATTCACAGCATCCCAACTTCGGCATAAATCTCCCCGACTTGTAGTGAACATGTTTTTTAGTCTCCAATGAGCAGACTCCTCCTTAAAAACCATAATTAGAAATATACGTTAAATTATGTTTAGTAATGTAATAACATCAAAATGACATTCGTGTACCTGTTTGTTGTTGTGTTCCCTAAATGAATGATTATGTTAGTCCAAACAACAACAAACCTTTCTTTATAAGGTGACAAACATGTTTCATTCATGTACTTAACAAATAAAGGAATATCAACACAAACAATCTCAAAGTGCTTCAAGTATTCGACATACTCAGTTTTCTCTATTAGTATACATGATGTTGTTACATAGATCCATGACATGTTATTGTCTTAATGATTTAACATACTCTTTACATTTCATACTAACATTTTTTGAAATATGGGACGAACACAACAGATGAGTTCAATTTGGAAACACAACTTCCATGGAATTCATCTACGCAAGTTCCTGGTCCATCACCACAACCTTCGATAACAAATTCTCGGAAGAGAACAACTCTTTGAGCTACTCTTATGCCCATTTGAAGTTCTCCATCCTTTCATGTTCCAAATAGGCAAAGCGTACCAAAAATGTTAACTTTGTTGATGTAACACAAATAATCTCAACCAATGGTAGCCAGTACTTGTATTATCACGATGCACATAATGAAAAATCTGATAAATTAAAGTATGATGAAAAGATATTGAAAATCAACATTTGGCCATTATCTACTTGTCTTGTATGTACAATCAAATGAATCATATTCAACAACTTCACTGAATCAGGATGTGTCCAAAAGATATCAGGAATAACATTTGAGTCTTCCCTATTTTTAGTCTAGCACATGTATTTTTCTCTATGAATAAGACTCAACAATATCTGCATTTCTGTTAATAGACTTCTCTTGCTCGCATTGCATGTAGCTCTAGCTTTATACACGTAGGTAACCTTGGTGAGGTTTCCTAGATCTTTTCCTTTTAAAGCAACAACTATGTACAATGGATATATGTTGTACTTCATCATGTCATTCACAAATTGTCTTCCATGAACTTTTAGACGAACCAATATGTCATAATCTTCTAAATCCTTATATAGTTTATGATTATGCAGCTCACGCCTAACTATCACCTTCCAACCACTACCACTTAACACATATCTCATCCTAAAAGAACATTTGACTTTCATACTATAAATGCCCTATGAGGATTTATTGCTTTCAAATGCATTCGTCTTTTTATAGTTTCCTCCTCTTTCATAACCCATAATCAATTTATCTTTCCTACATCGCTTCCCATTTGCAATTATTAGAACGAATAGTCACAATAACAATACCATGTTATTTATCAATAGTTTGTGCTCATGCTAATACTTCATATCAGAACTCAAATATCTTTTATTTACATCATATAAAAAGTATACTATCAATATCATATAGAGGCAGAAAAACTTTTAAATTAAACTTGTTATATAGAAAACATATCGCGTCAGTAGTGAAGAACTGCATAAAATTTGTACACGAATCTGTAGAAAACTCTTCTAGCTCTAGACCACACAAGTAAAAGATTTTTCTGCACTGCTACCGAAAATTTGGAGTATAGGTAAAATTTCAGGTATGCCGGAAAATTTGAAAGTTCCGGTATTCTGGAAATTTTTAAATTTTCAAAAGTTTTTGTAGTTTTTTGAAATTTTCAATAATTTTTGGTATGGGTTTAAGATTTTTCAGAGAAATATCAAAAAAATTTAAATTTCCAGTATTTCCTCATCGGAAATTTACAAAATTCTGATAAAAATGCGAGATTTTCATAATATGCATCCCAAAAATTCTATTTATACTATTGAAAATTTCATTTTTAGAATGTTAGTAAAAGTGAAACTTTTTAAAGAAAAGTAAATTTTGACTGGTAAATAATAGTAGAGACATTTTCGAAATTATGGAAATATGGGAGAATATCATGTACAACTAGGGGTGACAAGTTAAATGCTTGTTTGTTTATGTTATTTAAACACTTAATACAAGTGTGTGAAAAATGTTGTGGGACTTTATATAGGACTTATAGGCATTTTTTTCATTCAACACTATGTTGCACCATCATCTTACTTCATATATTCATGTTGCACCACCATGCTAGAAAGGCAATCTAGCAACTCTACCCAAAAAGTTCTACAAGTAAATTCAAGATATGTCATTGTTGTCAATTATCGAATGATGGGTGGTTTGAAAATATGGTTTGCTAGAGTTACTATCGCAGATGAAATTCTTAAAAACTTTCCTGAGTTTTCTATTGGATGAATGCTATTAGAGAGCTTGATTTTGTGAATTTCCCTTCTCAGGGTGGTTTGAGCGTGGAAGAAACAAGTATTTTTATAGTCAATTTTGATTCAATTATTGTGAGACTTTTGGAATACATTTGCTAAAAACAAATAAGAAATAGAGACACATTAGTTATATAAAAAAAAGCGACAAAACAGGTCATGATTAACGGAATAAACAACCACCTGCGTGTTTCACATGCCACACTGCGTGGAACCAATCAACCAATAATCTCTTGTCCATCTTCCTTATAAAAACAAACAAACATATCCCATTTGTTTCTTATCATTCATTCATTCATTCATGGACAACAAAAACAACAAACCTCTTCACATTGTCATGTTCCCATGGATAGCCATGGGACACATGTACCCATGTTTCCACCTTTCCAAAATCCTCGCACTAAATGGCCACTCTATCACACTCATTTCCACCTCTTCAATCATTGACCGTCTCCCTAAACTCTCACAAACCCTCTCACCTTTCATCAATCTCATCAAACTTCCATTATCACCCCACATTGACACAAACAACCTCCCCACAAACGCAGATTCCACCACCCACATTCCCTCCAACAAACTCTATTACCTTAAACTAGCCTACGACTCTCTTCAACAATCTGTAATCAATATCCTCAAAACCTCTAATCCCGATTGGGTTTTCTATGATTTTGCAGCTAGTTGGTTGCCCAAACTAGCAAAAGATTTGAATTTGAACATTTCATGTGCTTATTTTAGTCCTTGTCCTGCATGGACTATATGTTTCTTTGACACACCAAGACAGCAACTTGGTGATGATGTTGCGTCCATTAGAAAAGATCCTGAGGATTATTATGGTCCTCCCAAATGGGTTTCTTTTCCGACAAAAATCGGTTTGAGATCTTATGAGGTAAGAAAATTACTTGAAGATATCAAAGTGAATGAAACAGGGGCTTCCCCTGTTTTTGATCTAAACAGAGCAAATTCAGATTGTGATATGTTTGTTATTAGAAGCTCAAGAGATCTTGAAGGGGAGTGGTTAGATTTTGTTGGTGAGTTTTACAACAAGCCTGTGATTCCTGTTGGTTTGCTTCCGCCGATTGTAGATTCTTCTGATGAGGTAGATGATAATCCTGATTGGGTTCAAATCAAAGAATGGTTAGATACACAAAAAGTTTCATCTGTTGTTTATATTGCATTTGGGAGTGAGGTGAAATTGAGTCAAGAGAATCTCAATGAATTGGCTCTTGGCATTGAGAATTCTAAGTTACCTTTCTTTTGGGTTTTGAGGGATTTGAAAAATGGTTCTGTTGAGTTACCAAAAGGGTTTGAAGATAGAACAAAAGATCAAGGATTGGTTTGGAAGAATTGGGCTCCACAAGCTAACATCTTGGGACATATTTCTGTTGGTGGTTGTTTGACTCATTGTGGTTCTGGTTCAATGATAGAGAATCTTTATTTTGGACATGTTCTTGTTATGTTGCCATTTTTATTGGATCAAGCTTTGTATTCAAGAGTGATGCAAGAGAAGAAAGTGGGGATTGAGATTGTGAGGAATGAGGAAGATGGGTCATTTACAAGGGATTCGGTTGCCAAGGCATTGAGGTTTACTATGGTGGATGAAGAGGGAAGTGATTATAGGAAGAATGCTAAAGAGATAGGGAAGAAATTTAGTAACATGGAGCTTAATAAGCAATATGTTGAAAACTTCATTTCTTCACTTCACAATCACAAGTCATAGGAATGTTAAGAAATTATTTGTATAAATTCATTTATCACACCTATTTTTTGGTTTGAAATAAACATCTTTGATTCTATAGCTTGGTAAAAGAAAAAAAAGAGAGAAATATGTTATGGTAGATAGATATATAATACTCCATCTCTTTTCCAAATTAAAGAGGTTTTTGTAAAATAAACTTATTCTAAATTATAAGTCATTTTATAATTTTAAAGTAATATTTATTATTATTATTTTTTAACTCTTTTAATTTTTTTCTCCTGTGTAATTATGAGAGACTGACACTACTATAAAATTATACATATTTGGTCTTTTTTATAAAATAATATTTTAATTTTTTAATTCGTGTGAAATGACTAAAACGTCTTATAATTTGAGACAAAAAGAGGGTTTAATTTTTCGAAAGAAATAAACAACCATTATTATAATTTTTTTGTATGAGATACACATTTACACTCTCACAACTAAGCTCTTTATTTCTTTTGTAAATGGAGAAAATTAATAAGTATCATTGAAAGAGTAGCCACCAAGCAAAGGGTAATGGATATTGTAGATCTCCATAAACAAGTCATTATGATATACTAGTGTGTGTATATATATGGCCTAAAGTATAATAAACATTTAAATAAAAACAAAACTAATTTGTGCTAAAATGTAATTCAAATAATTTTAGTGAATTTAAGTTAAATTACTTGTATCACAAAGTTTTACGATAAAATAATGGATGCGAGGTTCTCGTGGAGGAGCAATGTTATTCAAATTTAATTTGATGCATCAATTTGTACATTACTCAAATCAAATAAAATTGGATGCGTGTGCCTCATGGCAATGTTTTTTAATGTAGTACATAACAAGTTTTATTTTATCTTTTTTATCACATAACTCTAATTGAAACTACTTAGAGAGCTATATCTTCAATTCTTTCATACTCTTCCAACAGATTCATATCTTCAACTCTTTTCTTTTTTTTCTTTCTATACTCATACCTTCCAATTGTTATTTTTAATTATTTATTTTTATGTTATCATTATTATGATTTATGGTTTTGTTGAATATGTAATGCTAAAGAATCTTATAGATAAAGTCAAAGATAATAACAAAGGTGCAATGATTTTTTTATTCCTCAAATAAGTTAATATTGAATTCACGTCGGACCAAGATATGTTATCTTTGATACCTTTCTCTCTTCTCTCTCTAAATCATCTTTCTCTCTCATCTAAACCTAATTTTAAAATACACTAAAGGCATGAAATAGTAAAGGTGGGGAACCCTTTCCCATTCATGTCCTCAAGAGTAGTGGAAAAAATAAGTTGGATCGAATTAGATTTTGTCAAGTCTGAGTCTGACCTGTTAAAAAATTCAAAGTCTAAGTCTGACTTATAATCTATCATAGACTTATTTTTACGTTTAAGTCTGACCTTTTCGAATATTGATTAGCCTACTAGCCTATTTAAAAGTCTATTTTATTTGAGTATTTGTAAATAAGAAATTCAATTAATGTTAAATAGACTAACAAATTAAAAGATCATTGAGACTAAATATTTGTTTTCATTGTTTTATTCAAGTTTACCTATTAACATAAGTTTGGTGATATTTGTTGAAGAAAACTTATGATAAAAAACTTATGACAACTACTTATGACATTGTTTATAATGTTTTTTCAACTTATTTTCATAAGTTATTCAAAATAACTAAATAAACATATTTTAATTCAAAGTAAAAAATATAATATAATAATAAATTTATTAAATTTTTTATAAATATGCTGACCTAAATAGGTTTATAAAAAAGACTTTTCTTACGGCATGAGTTCTAGTCTCTTTAATTAAATAGACTTATAAAAAAACCTTGACTTTTTTATTTAAAAAAATTCTGGCCGGACTAAACTTATATAAACTAGGTTGTACACTCATGTTAGTTAGTCTGACCTATATTCACTCTTCCTCAACCTCAAGAGGCAATAATTATTTTATGTATAATTTTTTTTAATTGTTAAAATTTATCATTAAAAAATAATAAATAAAATGTCAAATTCAGACAAACATTTTTAAATATGATGTTTTTATACACCTATCAACTTACCTATCTTAACCGAAATAATTATTTTTATTTGACATAGTAAATAATCTCTTAATTTTTCAAAATTAGTTATAAAAATAAAAATAAAAGCATTACACTTTGGAAGTGCCATTATATCTTCCAACCAAATCTATCTCTTCATGGCTTCAATCCTTAACGACAACAAGGTGATCAACAAGAACGTTAACGACAACGTTGTTGAAAACTAACCTCTTCACATTCCATCCAACATGAGCCGTTACCTTCAACAAGCTTACCAAGGCCTAGAAACCGATGTTACTCGGATTCTCAAAACCTCCAAACCCGATTTAGATTTATGGTGTAGAGAGTACACATATGAGCTTTAGAATATGTTTCAAAAATAAAGTTAATTTCTGTTACAGTTTTATGTTTTACATTCTCAGTACCCCTCTTGATCTTATAAAATTAGTTACATGAAGTCTTTTGATATTGGTTATGATTTTATATTTCATGATATTGTCACCTTTTTCGATTTTATGCAAGATTTGAATCTTGACAACCTTGATCTCTACATTATTTTAAGTTGCATCATGAATTTTCACTTCATAACGATAAAAAATAATTTCACCACATTATAGGAAAAATTTTTAATCCGACAAGATTAGAACCAATGAAAGGTGTGACCAAAACGAAGATAAGAAATGGAAAGAAACTATAGATTTTGATTTAAAGTTTAAATACAATGTTACAACTCAGAGTTTTTGTAACATTTACCTCAAACTTATTTTTGGTCACGGATAAAAATTCTTTTTAAGGAAACCAAATAAGAAAAATGGAAATAAAAACTAATTCAATGCAGTGGATTTGTTTCCTCACACTCAATGGATACTTCAAGTTTCCAACATGAAATGTGCGTTCTCCCAATGAAATTTTTCTGTTTTCAACTTCATCAACCTATTTATACTAAAAATTAATAAATAATTGTTGGTCTTTCAAATCGAAAAAGAACTTGGTTATTTACAGAATTGATCATACGGATCTTAGAACATGTGCTAGTAAATCTTAAAATAAAGTTTAAAAAGTTGTGAGTGCTTGACACTATTCATGATCTAATAGTTAACAACTTTAAAAATTCAAAAAAGGTAAATTGCAGAAACTTAATCAAAAACAACTAAATGCATTGAAAATAACTTGGGCAATAAAAAAGATAAAACTTGAATTAAAATATAAAGATATGGTGTTTTGTCAAACGTATATTTTCTTGACACACTCTTTTCTCTGTACACGAGTACTTTAAGTAATTCTAGAGATTTTGTACAACTTTGAACACACCCAATCCTAGTGCAAAGACTTCCTATTTATAATGATTGAAATAGCTGCCCCTAACGGCCTTCCTACAAAAATAAGACAAGTGGCGTTCGACATGTCTTCTTTTCTTGAAAATGTTCCACGTGTCTCTTTCAAAAATCTGGATAAGAACAAAGTTTCCTCCTTCATTTGAATTCAAATCTTACATCGAAAATACCATCAACAATTCTCTATCGAATCAACTTCCAAGACTTAGAATATTTCCCCAAATCCGTTCAGCATATTCTCCTTGTAAAAAGGTGACTTCGACCAAAAACAATCAAGTTTCACAATTTTGTCGAAACTTCTCACAACTTCATATAAATTGTTTTTCTTTATTGTTTTCATTAATCCAAACTAGGCGTCAAATTTGGGAGCTAACAAATTTCCCTACAAAAATGTCATTTTCGACATCACTGAAGAAAAAGACATTTTTTGATAGTCTTATTTGACGCCTCAAATGATCCAAGTGCGATTTGACACTTTTGGTGAATAAATGTTATAAAACGGTTCTCCTCTTCAGCACGCCTACGACGTCATGATCATGATTACACTTTTCTGAAACGTCCCCTCAACCCACGTGAGAATCTTTGTCATCATCACGCCTTCTAGACCCTAGGAAATCATGCGACTATGCATTAACTGCCACTGTCTCATCAAGGATAGTGGAAAGAACATGTGTCCCTGTTTATTGTGAAATTTGGCAAATAACCTCTAACCTATCAATTTTAGGTAAAATTGAGTAACTTGCAGGATCGACCATACAAATCCTAGGACATGTGCTAAGTTTAAAAGAAAATCTAAATTGAACTCCACGTTCGACTGTAAAACTTTGTAAAGCAAAAACAACTTGGAAATTAGCAAGGTTGTAAAATAAATAGTGCAATTTTTAAAACGACGAAAGTAAAAGGCGTGATGTAAAAGACTTTGAAAATAAAGGCAAGAATGTTAAAGACTTTGAAAATAAAGGCAATAACGTAAAAGTTGTAAGTACAGAGTATGCTTAAGAAGGGGGTGAATTAGGCTTTTAGGGACTTTTTCCGGTTTTTCGGTATTCTTGAAATTTTACTGGTTAGGTTCTTAGTGATGAATGCAGTAGAAAGTAAAAGAAAGTGGACACCAAGATTTATAGTGGTTCCCCTCACAATCCGAGAGTACTCCACTCCCCTTTCAACACGAAAGAGAGTTTTCACTATTGTTTAATAAAGTACAACCTATCACACCATCAACCGGTGATGCCTACTATCAAACAATAAAAATTAACAAGTGTACAAGAACAATCCTCTTGTAAACACTCACCCTTGTGTCCAACAATCCTGGATCACAAGTCAAAATACAAGTAATCTGAATACTTTGATTTGAGAGTAATAATGGTAATATCAATGCTGAGATTGATCTTCTCCTTCTGATCAAAATTCACTCTTTTAATTTCAACACAAGTGTTCAATGCTATGCATATGAAAGATATGATCAATATGAACACTTTTGAAAAGATTTGAAAAGTATTTGAAAGTGGTGAATTTGATTCAAAGAATGTTTTGAAAATGATTATTGGAGGATGTTTTTCCAATTTGAAAAACTCAGAATTTATATGTGTAAACACACCTTTTCCAACA